CTTAAGGAGCTAATGGGAACTCAAACGTTTATGACTAAAAAAATGTATAACAGTGTAGAATCTGTTTAAGTTGTTTTACTCTCAGGATTGAATTTAACTCATTTTAGAAGCCAGTAAAGAAATATCAGTTTTGTTACTTTGTAATAGTTAAAGCCCTGACATTCAAATAAGATGTACTATCTTTTCTCCTTGGCTGTATGTAGAAAATGCAGTCACCACCTCAAAATAGCAGTACAGTGCTTTAGTTTCCCTCTTAGTTTTAAATTTTAACCTTTCTCTTAGGTCATTTGCATGCATTTTAGAAATATAATTGATAAGGCACAAAGGATCAGTATACATGCCTATCTGAAGCAACAGCACTTCCTGGCACTATAATTAAAACATCAAATGCTGGGAAAAAAAGGGTTTTGAAAGAAAGTTGCTCATGATGCAGTGTCACAGTGCTCTGGAAGGGATGCGCATTTCACCAAAGGTGGTCCTGCGATGGTATGTATTCAAGAATGCACAATACTATGAATGAAGATATTTTTTATGGGTTATTAATCCAAAATCTAGGCAGTTTTATTTGTTTTATAATAAATTAAAAAGGTTAAATAGGTATGTTACCCAAATGTTTATGCATTCCCACTTATTGTTTTGCTCTTTTTATTTTTCTGACTTTAATTAGTCCTGCAATTTTCAACCGATTTCGACAATTTTGGTATCAAAATGTTCAGCTTGTTCAGGAGAATTATGCTATATCTTTTGGTATAGATATTTTTTATTAGTTTTTGCAATATTGAGCTTTTTCTGTGTTTTTTTGTCCCATTGAAAAGCATGTAGAATTCTCAGATTTCAACAAAAATTCTGCTAAAATTTCACCATTTTGACCTTTATCTACTTCACCATACTTTCAGCTAGAAACACCACTCGACTTTTAAAATGTTCTCCAAACATTAAACTATTAAAATATAACCCTCATTTGTGTGGGATTTACAGTTTTCCTGCAGTTTGGCCCAGAGCACGAAGAAGTCCACACTCCCCCAATAGAAATCCAATGAGAGAGTTTCCAAAATCACAGATGAAAATCCGAAACAACAAGTGTTTTTGTATCGCTGCCATGGATGGATGGATGGATGGATGGATGGATGGATGGATGGATGGATGGATGGATGGATGGATGGATGGATGGATGGATGGATGGATGGATGGATGGATGGATGGATGGATGGATGGATGGATGGATAAAAGTAGGTAAGTAATGATATGACTGTTTTGAACCAAAATTATGTTTTGACTGTTTTGAATCAAAGATGTTTCTTCGACATCTATTTGCAAGATATGCAGACTAAACCCAAGTTAGACAACAATGCAATAAATAAGCTGTTCACTAATATCCTCTAACAAACCTTTGATGCCTTCACAGAAAATTCTTCAGCTATTTTCTGTTTTTTTTCCTTGTTTTGTTTCTTTAGCTAAATTTTCTATTTTCATTCATCAGAAAACAGCATTCCCACTTTGCTGTTTCTCTTAAATAGCTTTTTCTAGTTCTAAATGTTTTCCACTGTGTTTTGCAGTTTGTAATTGTGCTACCTATCACAGGCAGAAGATAACTGCGCAGGTGTTTCGAGCATAATTTTCCCCATTTATAGGCAATCAAATTCAAATGCTTATTCTCTACTGGCAGATTTACTGATACTGCAAGGAGTTTTATGCGGATGTTGACACAGAGTTAATTGCCGCAACATTGCAATTCACCTTCTATGGTCCTCCGTGATAATTAAAATCGCTGTCGTGCAGCAGAGTCAGTGGTGTTACAGTTTATATTAGCAGATGGGATTCATGATGCATCGCCTGGGGGTTTGAGTGGGGGGTTGGGGGGGCAATACTTCACAACCTAATTTCAGTTCTATAATCCAGCTACATGAAAAGAGGACATTAGTTTTTTCCTGACTTTTACATCACCGTATCATATTATCTCATTCTTGTCCTGCTGTTTTTTATTGCTGCAAGTGTCTATGTTTTTGTTTTTCTAAATATCTATTTAGTGTGAGACGGTTGTTGTGTGGTGCTTATTACGTAGAATAAATAAGTACTTCAAATGAGCTGAAGATGTCTGGGGAGCAGACAAGCAGAATGTAGGAACCATTAAAATTTTTTTATAAATTTACACAATGATTCTCTCATTTACAATGCAGAGGCATAGCCATCCATCCATCCATCCATCCATCCATCCATCCATCCATCCATCCATCCATCCATCCATCCATCCATCCATCCATCCATCCATCCATCCATCCATCCATCCATCCATCCATCCATGATTATAAATAGATGCATATGTTTAAACATCCGTGCTGCCTAAATAAAGGGTATAGTGGACAAAATGTCTGAGGCAAACGTCATTTCCATTGTCATTACTTACCTACTTTCATCAAAAATGTGTTCTGCATAATATTAATATTACATGTACTAATATCTACATTAAATGACGTTTTAAGTTATTATTAAAGTAGTTATTTATCTATAATTTCCCTGAAAACTCCTTGATGATATGCAGAGACACATAATTTTACTCTTTACCCCATATAACACAAAATTAAAAGAGCATTAATCCTGTACATATCAACTATAATGTTAGTATTTAGATGTGCATAATTAACCACAGCGTTTTAGTTGTCAAGTAACTATTAATATATGAAAAATTAAAATGTTTAATAAGTTTAAACATTCCTCTTGATAGTATTACCCGCTGCCACCATCTGTATTAGAGGGAAATAAATGGTAGGGGTGGCCAAAGGGGTGGCCAATGATTGGCTAAGGGTGGCCATGGCCACCCCTGGCCCCCCATCTAGCTCCGACCCTGTTACAATGTCGGTCGAATACAGAGGGAAAAAAAATGAAATGCTGCTTTGGAGTATATTTTACTGATATTCAGCCCCTCTATGGCAATGCTTTGTAGAACTACCTTTCACTGTGTGTGCAGATGTGATTCTGTAGGGTTAGCTGCTTTTTGACTAACAGTAGAGAATGGCTTAGTCAGACTGGATGAAGAGCTGCTGAAAACTTTAGTTTTCTTTTACCTTTTCTCTATTGGATTTCATTCATAAATCTATTAAATCTATTTCTTTATGGGATTGGCTGATATTTAGCTTGATCTTTCTTCCTATCAACTCTGCTTTACTGTCCTTAATAAAGGAAGTAATCTTAACAGCAAGATGCTGCTCTCACCATGTTCCATTAAGGCAACACTGTTTCCATCCTCAGATAGAGTTGTGGATGAACGTACATTTCATTTTGGTCTCTACTGATAAGAGCACATTTTTGCACATGGTTGGTTTTTCACATTAGTTTTTAGAAAATTAGTTTTATTGTAACCCATTATAAACAATGGTGTCATGCATATCACTTTATCTCTGCAGCTCATCCAATTTTACCATTAGTCTGTTGGTTTCTTAATGTCAGGTCTTTAGTAATGTTGCTATTGTCCCATACTATTTCTATTTCTTCAGATGATTAGAGGATGGTGCTCCCAAAGATGTCTACTTGGTTTCTTTGACATCTATTTGCAAGACATGCAGACTAAACCCAAGTTAGACAACAATGCAATAAATAAGCTGTTCACTAATATCCTCTGACAAACCTCTGATGCCTTCACAGAAAATTATGTATTATATTAAAAAAGGTAGAAAAAATGCACCTCAGCTTTGTACTGTTTGGTCCATAATTTCAAATCCAAAAAGAATTAAATTGTGTTGTTGTCAGCAGAAAAAATGAGGAGAACGTTCAAAATATATGAATTATAACTATTTATTATTTGTTAGATTTTCTCTGTAGTCCCTAGGGGAGCGGATATGTTAAGTGATTGAAGGAAATAAATAAATAAATAAAATAAAATTAATAAAAAGAACAGCTGGTTCTATCTTTTAGCGAAATCAGGAATTCTGGGAGGATTAGAAAAAAATCTTTTAATGGTTTGAGATGAATTAAATATTCAACTCCATCGAAATCAAAAAATAGTTAGACATTTTGTATTGTGAAATAGGCATCTTAAAGACCAAAGCCAAATCTTAGGGATTTATTTTTGTTTTTTATTTATTTTGTTCTGCAGTGGCGCAGCCAGAACATTTTTATAAGGGTGGCCAGGCAATAACCAATGTACACCTCAGGGTCAAGCCAAAGATAAGACTAACTATACTTTCCTACAGCCTTTGCTAACAAATAGACACATATATTTAAACATCCCTCCTTTCTAGATAAAAGGTATAGTGGATAAAATACTTTCTGGTTTGAGTTCTGAGGCAAACCTCTTTTCCATTGTCATTACATACCTATTTATATCGATAATCATTCCGCATAAAATTGATATTTACAAGTACTAATATCTACATAAATCAATTATTTAATATTTTTTTATTAAAATAGTTATTTATCTATGATTTCACTGAAGACTCCTGGATGACTCTCTTTACCCCATATAAGACAAAATCTAGTTCTGAAAAGAGCATGAATTCTGAACTTATCATCTTTAATGTGTATTAAATTAACCACAGTGTTTTTGTTATCAAGTAATTATGAATGGCGTAACGACACAAAAATAGGCCCATAAGCAACATTGCCTGGGTGGGCCCCATATAAAGTAACCCCCCACCCCCACCCCCACCCCACTTACACACTTCATCATTTTATCATCTGGAATGTGTTGGGGTATAAATAAGGTCCATTAACATGCATTAGTGTCAGGTGGGTATAGAAATAACTTTTCGCACCATTACATCAGCAAACAGTCGTCCTAGTCCACTGTGATGTAGGGGGCCGACCAGGTGTCAGAGACGGGGCCCCTAAGAGGTTGGGGGGCCCTAAGCAACTGCAGTCTCTGCCTACCGATAGTTACGCCATTGCACCATCTGTATTAGAGAGGAAAAAATGGTAAGGGTGGCCACAGGGAGGGGCATGGCCACCCCTGGCCCCCCATCTAGCTCCGCCCCTGATGTGGGGGGCATGGCTTCCTCCACCACCTCCCCTGCCACCACCATCATCATCATCACCATCATCATCATTGCTCTCATCATCACCTCAGCAGCAACAGCAGCTTCAGATTCGTCGGTAGCAGAAATCAGAGCAGAGTTGTAGAAACAGCTTGAAGGGAAAAAAAAACACCCGGAAAGGCTTTTAGACGTCTTTAAGAGAAGCTCCGCTTCAGGGGGGAGGGAACATGGGGAAACTGGAGCTGCAGATGATCAGATGCAAGGAAGAGGAACTCCGACCAAATCTGCTTTTATGACACACACCCCCATGCATCATTAGGAATTCATACAAATAAAACACGCTCAAGGTAAGATGTTTTAAAAACGTTCATTCATTTGATGAAAAAAAAAACACTGTTTCGATGGAAATATCGTGCAGAAGAAGATCTGACATAAATATGATTAAAGATACGCTGCAATTAAAACAATAATTCAGTTTGATTAGTAATGATAATTCTAAATAAACGGTTGGTGCAATTTTCCTCCTGCAATTTGTAAGAGAAAAATCATTTATTTAGCCTAATTAAAGGGGCAATTTAAAAATGCGTGACATTTGCATCAAGCCTTTTTATTTCTGTATTTTTATAGAACGTTATTTCTGTGTTTTATTATAATGTATTTAAATAAAATTGAAAAGAAAAAAAAAGATAAATAAATAAAAGAGGAGCAACTATAGGCTATGACGATGAAAAGGAAATAAGGAGGTCATTTCTGCCCCCTTGTGGATTGAATTCATGTTTAACGTGGTCCTAAAATTAGGGCTGTAGTGACTGCAAATGTATTTTGCATAGGGTATAACGTGTGTGCGTTTGGGGGTTAATACGTCTATGTCTAAAAATGTTTTTGAATAATTGATTGAAAAATCCAACAAAATTTCTGTTATAGATTTTGAGGTTTGTCATCTGTTGTATACAGTAGTCTGGCATTAACTCTGGCTTGTTGCTCTATTCTTCTCATACGTGGCCCACATTCATCCATCAACCCCCTCATTGGTTTCCTTGTTATGTAATCTCATCCCCATCAGACTACATCAGCCTCAGAGTGTTTGCTGTTTGGATTAAATGAGTGCAAATGTCTATCTTATTAAATTTGTATGTGATAGACAAACACAAAGTGGCTCATTAATATAAACTGGAAAGGAAACTATAGCCTACATGGTTCTCAATTGAAACGAAATCAACAAATAATACGATTTTGGAGTTACGTTGTTAACTGTAAATTAAATCCATTGTAACCATTTGCCTTCATAACTCATTGGATATGTAAATAGTTTTTGTGCATCACCGTAGTATAGATCCAGCTGTTCTCTGTTTGATTAAGAACAGCAGGGAACAAACAGCATCATGAAGAGATGAGAATATATCTGACAGGTTTAGTTTAGAAAACAATTTCCAGAGGTTTGGATATCTGTGACATAATTCAAATCTTCCAAGCTATGGCTGCCACTCAGGAGGCCCATATTAACTATGGAATAGCCATAGTTCAGGTGAGCTGGTTCCATTAAAAATGGAAGAAGGTGCTCTTTAGTTCAGAAATTGTGGCGGCAGCATTATGCTGTAAGAATACGTTTCTTCCACATGGGCAGAAAGGCTGGATCAGAGCTGATGAAAAGATGTGTAAACTCAGGGCAACCCTGGGGAGAAAGCCTGTTCTAGTCTTTAAAACGCATGAAACGGGGATAAAGCCTAGCATGACGTAGTCCGACTCAATTCTAGTCAGAATATGAGTCTGATACTGCTCCATAGAGCTGTGATTATGGGGCGTGTTTCGAACGAACCAGGAAAAAAAATGCCTCTGCACTCAATAGGATAGACCTACAACCAATAAGAGCAACGGAGTGCGTGACGTATCTTAAGCGAGGCATAGTTGATGTCCACAAAAATCAAAGTGTGCAGTTGCACGCCTATAATAAGAAGATTAGACTTGATCGCGTTTCTCTGTTCCTCTTTTAAAATTAATTTGCTGTCGATATCTTCTAGAACAGACCTAATAGCAGAATTTACTCACCTAAACTCTCCAGCGGCAGCCATTATTGTTGTCACGCAAGCGCGCTTTGGTCACGTGGTTGATTACGTTACTGTTGATCATCTGTCCATCATCGTATAAAGTCCGCCCTGACAATTTGATTGGATCGCCAGAGGGTGGGCGATCATACTCGCGCTACTATGGAGCAGAGCCAGACCGAACTTCCCGACCTCAAACTTTGTGGGCGGGACTAAGTTCGGAATGGCACCCAGGCTAGATAAAGCCCCCCCCCCCCCAAGAAAACAACAACTCTAAACAAAAAGCCAGATCCACAACAAAATGTTTTAGACCAAACTGTTATCCAACTTTGGAACAGTTTAGTAAAACAATCAGATAGGACTTAGAAAATCGATGTTTATAGACACTCTCTATCCAATCTGACTGGGGCCGGGCAAATAACTGCTTTTGCAAATAATCGCAATTTAATATAACACAAATTTGAAGTCGCAGAGGCTTCATTCCATTCCAGCCCTCTAGGGGGCAGCAATACCCTTAAATGGGGTTAGCCACCACACAAATAGGCAGACGGAGTTTCAGCTAACACGCATTTAGTAGTACAAATTTTTTTTACACAAAGGTTATAGTAAAGGTTTTAAGGTCATGAAAATAATAAAACCCCGTAATTAAATATCAAAAATCTTGTATTTCATTTAAACAAAAATCAAATTAAAATCGCAATTGCAATATTAGTTAAAAATCTCAATTTTTGATTTTTCGCAAAATCGTTCAGCCCTAGATTTTTCTCAAGACAACATGTTGCAAAGAATAATGGGCTCAGCTTTAGGTGTCTACATATAAAAATCTAACAGAGAAGAACCCAGAAAACAGATGAGGCTCTAATTATACTAGAAAGTGGTTGCATGAAGTCTTAACCCCAGATGGCTAAATTAACATACATGTCACATCTTTCAGGTCTTTATTAATAAAAAAAAAAAAAACATTCAAAACAGTGTATAATTGTCCCTGTATTCCCAATGATGCACTACTTTTATTTAGCTACTCAAGTAAATCACTGTCGAATGTACTTTAGGTATGCAGGTGTTACATAAGAACATTGTTTGGAATGAGCCAAGTATGTTTTCATTTAAGATTTGACTTTTTATTTCATTATTTCCAGACAACCCTGTATAATACCTCACACATCATGGATGCAGCTTCACCCTCCCTCCAGTATGGATCAAAAAAGCGAGTCAAAATTCACCCCAACACCGTGACAGTAAAGTACGCCACCCACTTCCCCCAGCCTGGTGACGAAGGGTACGATGATGCACCCTCTTTTGAGGATTTTGGTACCTTTGCAGAGGCAAATGTCGGAAAGAGATTGGTTTCAGATGCCAAAGGCAGCAGGACTTTCTTTGGTACCATGGAGACTCAACCTAAGCAGCCAAATGTTCAAAGAGACAAGGGGGTTGAGGGTCAGCTGGCCAGCTTTGGCGAGGCTAATGTTTTGGCCTCCAAAGTGACCTGGATGGCCTTGTTTGGTGCAGCAGCAGCTCATGGATGTGTGGCTTTAATTACTCGCTTGGCAGCAGATCGTTCTAAGGTTCCCTCCCTCGAGCTGCTCTTCATCCGTTCTGTGATCCAAGTGCTGTCAATTCTGGTGGTCCTCTATTACCACGAGGCGCCCTTTGGCCCAAAGGGCTACCGGCTTCGTCTCTTCTTCTATGGTGTCTGCAATGTCATTTCAATCACTTGCGCCTACACGTCTTTTGCCATAGTACCTCCCAGCAATGGTACCATCATGTGGCGAGCCTCCACCACAGTCTTCAGTGCCATACTGGCTTTCCTGCTGCTGGATGAGAGGCTGAGCTACACAGATGTGGTCACGGTGGTAGGAAGTGTGTTTGGCCTCTGCCTGGTTATGGTGCCGAATGTAGCGGACGAGGAGAAGTCCAGGTTGGGGTTTTGGAAGGAAGCCTTTGGCTATACTATGACAGTGATGGCAGGCTTGACCGCCGCCCTCTCCATGATTGTCTACAGAGCCATCAAGGAGCGTGTCAGCATGTGGACTGCACTTTTTACCTTCGGCTGGACGGGCACTGTATGGGGGGCCTCCACCATGTTCATCATGCAAGAGCCTATCATTCCCCTGGATGGAGAGACCTGGGGATATTTAATTGGAATCTGTATCTGCTCCACAGTGGCATTCCTTGGAGTCTACTATGCTCTTAACAAGTTTCATCCAGCCTTAGTTAGCACGGTGCAGCACCTAGAGATCGTGGTTTCAATGTTTCTGCAGCTTATCGTGCTGAGGATGATCCCCTCTGCGTACGATGTTATTGGGGGCCTTGTCATCATGGTCAGCGTGTTCACTCTGACCGGGGTAAAGCTGTACAGAGTGAGCAGGGCCATTCGACAGGATTACCAAGAGATCTTAGACTCGCCTATCAAATAAATCCATATCTGTCAATCTATTTGTTTACAGTGTTGCTTGGTCGTGCAATCAAAAGAATGTCTGGATCTTCATCTGATGATTTTGTATTGTTGTGCTGTGAACAGAGTGCCAGTTTGTGTAACTAAAGTCTGAATATTTACGTGTGAAATAAAAGACAATTGTAATATCGTGACCATTTTCCCCTTGTATAGCTATGCTTTTATGTGAAATCGTGTCACAGGCTAAAATGTCAGTAAAAAAGGCACCAGAGAATCATGGCATCAACAAGGTATTGATATAATCTGTCGTCACACTGCCAAAACTGTGTCAATGTCCAGTGCAAGTCATACTGTAACTAGGAATAAAAAAATGAAAAAACTGACTTGTTGTTCGAGGCAAAAACAATTATTTAGGCATGGTTAACGGTGTCAAGATGTACCATGGTTTAAAATAGCTGTGGTTTAAAAATAATTAAAATCTTTTATATAATTTAAAGTACCCGAAATACAAAAAAATGTGTTAGAATGAGATTGTTTGTTTTCCAGCTGTACACAAAATAGACTAAAGGATTCATAACTCTTCTCCAGCTCTTCTGTTTCTTTGCACTGCTAGTCAGCTGGCTGGTGAAAGGTCACATCTGCATTTGACCCGTCCGCTAGGGGAGCAGCGGGGTGCCACTGTGCGGCACCCAGGAAGCAGTGTGGGGTGAAGGGCCTGGCTCAGGGACCCAGAGTGCAGGCTGTGGAAGTGGGGCTTGAACTCAGAACCTCCAGCACGTAGAGTTAGGAAGCAAAGAGCTACATGTCTGCTGCGCACCAGAGGGCAGTCTGCCTTGCTAAAAGGGATGAGGACATTTAAGGGGACATTTTTTTTTCAAAATCTTATTAAGAGGATGTAAGAATACCCCCAAATAAATTTGTTATTGATATAAGTTTTTATTTTAAAGTCAACAGAATGTTTGTTTTTCTTCAGGGGGTAGGATTTTTTCTTAAAAGAGTTATATAAAATGAGACCAATTCATAAAGTTTTTTCAAATTTCTGTATAAACGCCATGATAACTTCAAACCGTGGTACTTTTGGTTAGCATTGTTTTTTAAATCTCATACCTATCCATGCATACTTCAAATAAAAAAAAAACTGTCTAACAAATAAAGAATGTGAAGATTTTCATTTAAATTTTCCAGTTAAAAAATCTATACATTTCAACATTCCTTTATTTTTTTGGAATTTCCATACAGTTTAGAGCATCTAAGTGCAGAACTTTCCACACAAGGGAATTCTGAGGTTGGCTTGTATTTCACATGTTTAGAAAATAGCAATTTTAAAAGTTTTGCTTTGACATGTTTGGTTTAGTTTTATTGAAATGCTAACCCTACATTTAATAATGGTTTGTTAAAAAAAAAATCTGTGACAATTTGATTAGGTTTGTGTAAAAAGGCAGTTTCATTATTTTAAACCATAGGTTCAATTTAAATCCAGTATCTAAAGAGACCTTTTTTTTTTTTTTTTTTGAAAAAAAAAAGAAGAATTATAAAATGTTTTTGCATACTTTCATACAAACCTAACTCAAACTTTTTTTCTGAATTACAATAAAGAAAATGTGGAAAACTGAAAACTAGAAAGTTATAGCTCAACTTCACAAACTGCAAAATCGTTTGAGCAGCATTTCTGCAAGAGCTTCAACTGTAATCCTATCAGCTGGTTTATATTTAACAAGGGTGATTTCCTCACTGAGTGTGGCTTCTGTTTACTCTCAGATGTACGTCAAACTAATGCCCAGTGGCAAGAGCACTGAATTGAATGAAAGTCCCCTTTACAAACACCAGTTCATCTGCTTTTTCTTTTTCTGTATCGGTTGAGTCATCAACTTAGTGGGGACATTTCCCCTTTTTTTGGTTCTTTTTGCAAAGATAAACAGCCTCTTAAATGGTGCCTAAAGGGGAAACAGGAACTCCTGAGGAATGAAATGGAGACATTGGTTATGAAAAAGTGCAGGAAAGAGGACTTATTATTGATACCAAACTGACATGTTGCATCAACAGCCCAGCAGGTGGCATTCATGACCTACTTCATGTCTCTGTCAGCCAGGGATGGAGGAAGAAAGCTAAGGTCTGCGGTGCCACAAGGGCTGCAGTGACCAACCCCACTACTTGGCCAGACAATCCTAGATACATTATATGTTTTTTTATAGATCAGTTATATATACAAGTACAGATTATGTAGTATTTTTTTGTTTTGACTTTTTTTTTCTCTTTTGAACAGGGTTCTAAACAATGCTATAATAAAACCACTGAAATTCTCTATAAAGGCTTTGGGTTTTGTTTGCTTCATGAATTCATTCTGACTCTCCCATAAGACCATCTATGCTGAATTATGAAGCCAGTTATTGTTACCCCTAGATAATAAAGTTAGGACTCGTCCTGTGTTTGCATCACAAAAGATAGAACGATTAGATTGTATTTCCTCCTTTTATTTGTTTGGCAGATGCAGCGCAAATACATAATGCACTTGTTGCTGGTGTATGAACTCTATATTACAAGGGTGACTGTTAAAACTGAGACACTTTTTATTACAGAGACCAAACCCATTCTTTTAGAATCAAAACCACAACCAATCTTCATTTACCTGTTTTTTGTGACATATGCCTTTACATATAGTTTAATAAGGGCAACAAAAATGAAGAGAAGTCTGCTTCAAATTCCTGTTTGCGTTGGTTTGTTTTTTGAAACGGGCTTTTGGTTGCAGAACGAAGAAGACATGTAGAGGAGAGCCATCTGTTAGAGCAGGAAACAGATTGCATCCTGCAGCGAGCTGCACAACCTTCCAAATAACTCTGCAACTCTTTCAACCACAGGCACGTTTATTAGCTGCACCAGGCACTAACTGAACAAATTTTTATGTTTTTTTTCTACAGAAATGAGATCATTACATTTGCTTGCATGTTTTGCTTTTACTGAAAGGTACAAATTACTGGGGAATTACAAATGGCTGATTACCTTGATAAATAGTGCCATTATTTTTAGCTCCCTTAGAATAAAAAGCATAAGAAGTAAATGTGTTTTGCAAATTTGAAAAAGTTGTACATACCTCCACTTATAATTCTTTTTAAAGCACCCTATAGTAGCATTATGTAATCTACAATTATATTTCACAAGTTTGAAGCAAATGGAAAGGAATTTCTGTCAGCCTTTCTTGGTTCTTCCTTCTAATTTCATGCTTTTCTGATGCTATCTTCTCTTCACGTCACTCTGCAGGTTTTCTGTAGCACTGCACACTGATATGACCAGGACCATAATGTGGGTCAGTTTTTCTATTCATTTATCATAGAATTGTGTAAATCACTTTTGCCCTAATTGTTTAGAAGGTTCCCTGTGTCTTAAAAAGAGATATGGGCCCGCAGCATCACTGATCATGCAGCATACTTGACAGAGGATACTTGTTTTGTACCTCTCTTACCTTCACTGTATGTGGTGGTAAGATTTATACGACACCTTGTCTAAACAGCCACTTTTCTTATGTAATAGTATTACCCCAGTGAAACAGAAAATCAGAGATTTCCATGTAGAGGCTGTTAGGCACTCTAATCAACTTGAAGAGATAAAATATAATTTAAAAATGTTTTTCATGACTCATTTCTTTAAATGGAATTGTTAGGATTATCTGTAATGGAAACATTGGTATTTTTAGTTAAATAGCTTTAAATCATTTAGCCAAGCTTTGTCATTTTTAATATTTCTCTTTCAGAGTTAAACTCTTGTGATGCTGTAGGACATTGCTTTATTATAAAGATTTTAACACATCTTTAAAAGTGGTGCCAACAAAACTATTCATATCTGTATACAACTAAATATATTCCTCTTTCTCTTATAAGTGCATCCTTATTTTAAAATATTGTCATTGTGTTTTTATTGAACTATACTTTTTATTTTCTTGTTCTTTTATTTTAGGGTGGTATGACTTTCGATTATTTCTATTGAAGCTGGCAAATATAATATAAATACAACAGTTGACATAATCCTTCTAGCCAGATGCGTTTAACACTTTTCGTTTGAATGAATAGTTGACTAAAATTAACAAGGTTAAATGAAGCAGATACTAATTTAAAGGGTTTCTATGAGCTTTTAACGTTAAAATATTTTAGACGGGATATTAAATTAAAAATTAAATCCTAGAAAGACGGCGTTCTATGGGAATGCAGAACATCAAAAGCTGCAATATGTTTGATTGACAGTATCCGTGTCCAATGAAAACACAGCTTGTTTCTCGGCAGCCAATCAGAGACGAGCAGTTGGGAGGCAAGATGGTTCCAAACTGCTCTGAAGCCATAACAGTTAGTTAGCCTAGCCTCGCTGCTGAGCTCTGATACGGTCTGATGCAGAAATGCTTTTCCAACAGGGCGCAGCGTCTACTCAGCTAGGCTAGCTTTCCTGGATTGTGGAAAAAAAAGAAAATATTTCGCGGCAGACTGGAAAGGACCGTTGACATCCGTTGTGAGCATCCTTTTTTCGAGACGCTTCCATCCATTGTATTTAAGAGGGAGATAAGAAGAGCTGGCCATCAGCAGTCAGGTAAGACGTGGCATGACTGAAGAGGGAATATGCCAGGCTGCCTTCTGCCTCTGTTTAACGGTAAAAGCCACACAGGCTAACGGCTAAATGGTAACCGAGGCATAAAACATACAGTAAAGCCAGCCTTTCTGCTTTGTCGCATTGGTCCAAAATGCGTTCACAGTGGGGTGAACGTTTAGTTTAGCTCAAAAAAGAGATAATAGTGTTTAATAAATGTTCACAGTAAGGTTTAAACCAAGTTGGGTGGCTTGACACGCTGAAAACCGTAACTTATGAAATAAAAGGTAAAGATTTAAGCGCAACAAATCTTGGTTATACATTAACACCTGGCTTGTTTTAATTAAGTTGTGATGGATTTAAAATGAAGATTCTTAAATAGAGAAAAAATAGCGGCTACTACATTTTTGTTAAAGCCCATATTTTAAAGTAGAAATGTTGGAGACAAAATCATTGAAGAACAGATGGATTGGTGCAAAGACCATATGAAAGCAAACTATTTTAGTAATGTAAATATATTTTATAAACCTATAAACAATCTGTACTTGTAATTGATTTTTTTCCCCCTGTTTTTATTTTTATTTTATTATTATTTGGGGGTTACTGGGATAACTAATTCAATATTGACAAGTATTGAACAAGAAGTAGCCATAATATCTAATTATGCTTTAGGATGATTCACAATACTGAGGTATAGCTCAAACATACCCTCTTGGTTTATACTAGGGATGCAAGATATTGGGATTTTGGCCGATATCCGATATGCCGATATTTTAAAACTCATGTAGCCGATAACCGATACCGATGTTAAAGCTGGACAAAAATAAGTAGTCATTGAAAATAGCAGTTTTGTTATCCATTTCTGACACTTTGAAAAATAATATACTCAAATTTATTTTCATATGCTGATTTCAAATAGATTTTTAAAAACGTGGTATCGATCTATTTTGCTTTCAAAATCTCGTGTGAAATTTCATCGTTCTGTTACAAACTCTGGTGATATTTTGCAAATTCTTGTGAGATTTTGTTAGTAAAATAGATCGATACCGCGTCAATATATCAACATATAAAAATAGGGCAAAATTTCGTGAATTTTCGGGGGATTTCATAGCATAACGATGACATATAGCAATATTTCATTAGTAAAAGCGTTTGATATGGTGTTTTTAAATGGCAATATATAAGCATATGAAGATATTGTGATAGTTTAATGTATCAATATTTTTTTTCCCTCGTCTTTAAAAGTTTTTAAGTCTGTAAAAAAGAATTTTTTGAGGAAGAAGTAATATTTTTTATTTTTTTATTTAGACTTTAGAAACTCAGAAGCTGATCAAATATCGGGTTAAATATCGGTGTCCGATGACCGATATTCAGTTTTAAGGCCGATACCGATAGGGGGCCGATTATATCGTGCATCCCTAGTTTATACATTATCTATCTATCTATCTATCTATCTATCTATCTATCTATCTATCTATCTATCTATCTATCTATCTATCTATCTATCTATCTATCTATCTATCTATCTATCTATCTATCTATCTATCTATCTATCTATCTATCTATCTTCTGTGAAATTCATCAATCAAACATTAATTCCTTTGAATGCATGTTAGATTTGCATGGTGTCTAATTAAGATTTCTTTATTGGGGTTCTACTGTTGTTAGGATAGACGTCTTCAATGCCAGTCCTCATGATCTGGTCTCTTGTTGTTTGAAATGCTTCCCAGTTTCAAGTTCTCCTGACTAGATTTTTGCAAAGGACCTGATTATTTGATTCGGTTGTGCTGCAGAGACTCATTTAAATGGTTTTCAGGACACCGCACCTCATGGACTAAAATTAAAGAGTTTAAATTTAGCAAGTATGTGGACTTCCGTTGTATAGAAACTGGGAAGAGCTCTTTAGTGTTCTAAAGTGTTTTAAAACCAATCTGACCGTATGATCTGGTTGAATTCTCTCTGTAAAGTACCTTGAGATGAAATGTGTTGTGAAATGGTGCTGTATAAATAAACTGAGACAGCAGTTTTCTAGCTATGAGCCGTATGTCTGCTATTAAATCCAGCTTTCTTGGAAAAGATGGTTGGGAACAAAAAGAGGAATTGTTTTTTTTTAATTCACAGTAAACAGTTATCAAGTAAAAACTATACAATGTGTTGGAAATATTGACAGACATTTGTTGTTTTTAAACACATTAGTATCTGTCCAAGTAGTAAAACTGGATGGGAAGAGGATTGTTCATGTGGTATTTGTTTTGTTCATATGACAGCAGCCAGTCATCACAGTAAAGGATATTTGGTGTTTCACGGATGTGGAGAAGTAATCGCCACACTGTGGTAGTTTTTTCCTCTGTCTCCAAAGGGTTGGTATGTAATTAGTGTCGGTTAAAATTTACTAGATATATTGATTTTGGATATGAGTATTGGTTTTTGTAAAGCCTAACCAGAAGGCAAAAGGATATGTAGCTCCTGGATATGTGGGGTCGGTAAAGGTCTTGACTTTGGTTTTTCTGACCCTAGGCCTGTACAAGTGTTGGATGGAGGCAAGTAAGCCACTGACACAGTTTGTTGATGAGAATGAGTAGAAGCATTGTGCAGGTCCATTTTTTAGAAGTCTACCATCATATCTACAGTTGAGTAGGTTAAGCTCCAGGTAGTTCGAATTGCCCCCAATCGACCAATGAGTCCACCTCTTGTCTGTATAAAGACTTTAATTTCCAGGTCTGCTAAGAGTCCACAAGTTTCTAGTATATGTAATTAAAACATGACGAAGTATGTTTTTACTCTTGTGTTTGAACTTTTGTGATTATACGTCGATTTACAACTAGTTGAATGACACCTCTGTCATGCCCAAAGGGTTCTGGCATATGTCATTGTTTCGACACAATCTGATTGATTGCCTCATCGCTTCTAATCTTTCACACAGCCATTCGAAGTAGAAATATAGTTAACAATAAATGATAAACTAAATCACTGTGTAATACTACTAGCTGCAGCCATTAAGTGTGTTCAATTTTGTTTATAGTGGCAGGGCCAGCCAACTAGTTTCCAAGCATGTTTACGGTTGAAGCAAAAGCTATTTTTTGAAAGTAATGACAAAAAAAAGTTCTTGTTGGTTTTCCTTTTAATTATAAAGTTTAACTGAGTGGGGAAAAAATAAATCTATAACATGGAACAAATCAGATATATATATGTATATATATTACCAAGCCCTGTAATTAATAAAGGCATAGAATGTTGTGTTTCTTCCCCCTTATTTTGGTCATAATTTATAGTCAACTGAACAACTATAACGAACACACCATGCCAGTAAATAACTGGATGTTTTAAAATTTTCCTAGAAGTCGAGGTGATTTTCGCAAATCTTGTGTTTGGGCTGATCGAAAATGTCACCCTAACAACGACAACACTTGAGAGTTGTTTATACTGTAAACATGGCTGAAATTGAATACCAATAAATATAATGCCACATCTGTCATGTGAAACCATTAGCTGGAAAACTGAAGCACCTAGTTTATAATCTAGACAATTCTAGAATTTCATCAGACAGACAGATTGTCACACTTCACCACAATGGGTAATATGGCTCGTTTTTTTTTTTTTTTTTCGTTTGGGTCACTAATGTTGCTGTAACATTTTCAAAAAAATGTAGCTGAAACAATGAACGTTAATTAACACTTAATAACTTAGTGACTAGGATAGATATAGAAGGAGCAAGAAAGAATTTGTCCTTTGTGGAGAGGCTTTCTTAAAAAAAAGACGTTTTTTGCATCCTTTTTAGCACTTCTGAAAGTCTGCTGCAAACTTGCATGTAAACATTTTGGTGGTAATTTTGGCCACAAATGAGGTATTGGTTCTATGACAGACGTTAGAGAGAAATTCTGTTTCAATAAAGAAAAAAATGGCTGGGACAAAGCAGCAGCAGACAAAGATGTTTTATTTTTTCTTATTTATTTTTGAATGATTGTAGTTTTTTACTTTTTGTTTGTAGCACTTTGAGATAAACTACCTATGTGAAATGAACTCTGAAAACTATTTAGTATTATCATTGTTAATATTTAAATGAGTATTGTCATTATTACCTCCAACTGCATGACTTAGAACCTAGTTTTTCTTTTAGACTCACTCTATAGCTGCCTGTATCACACACAATCTGCTGATTTTAATGGGGTGGAACCAGCCGGATTTGCAAATATTCAAAATGCCCCCTTTATTTGAAATCTCTGGAAAATAAGACCCAACTTCACTACCTTGTTTTTATGTTGATAGGGGTAATAATATAAACATGGGGGTCAGTTTAAGTCGAAGATCAAGTGTGAAAAAAATAACAGTGCAGCAATAGATGGATTTAAGAAGGACAAGACTCAAATAGCGCTTTGAATAAATTGAGAAAGTTGGTTTTCACTGAGCTAGGAATTTGGATGTTTCTGGGAACCTGATGGGTGTGTGAGTAAACATTTTTATCGACATATTGGGTATATATTTTAGGAGCTTGCAGGTAGAATTAGCTCTTCTAGGATGGGATGACATTACTAGTCATTACTAGTCTTATTTCCTATTCCTTTCCTATCCCATGACTTTAGTACATTCACTTTTGCTACAGATCCTGTAAGGGTGGCTTGTTTAGTCCAAAAAGGTTGCTCTGTATTCACAGCAGCAGAAATTGCACCATAGTCTGTTTAGAAGAGGACCAAGACTATCTCAGAAAGTGGTGTCTTGGTTATTTGTCTGGACCAAGGTTTGCTTAAGTGCATTTATCACTGCGCAAAAGGTCTGGACTGACCTGAGGGGACAAAACATCTCTGGTCTTTGTAAAAGGAAAAAATCATGGCAGGTGGGAATGTATCCTGATGCTCTCTTCCCTGTTTGCCATGGAAGACAGTTAATTTTGTTTGGTGAGCCACTCATTTGTTAATTTAGGCATATACATCCTTATCCAATTGAATGATCCAATGAAAGTCCTTGTCTACGTATCTGGCACTGACCAACACATCATTTTAAAAGCT